AATTTCAGAAGGCGGTGGCAGAACATTGATTAAGTCCAATGCAGGGCCTTGCTGAGCTTAGAGTCCTGTACAAGGGTGTGCCGCAGTCCCGTGAGACTCACCCTGGGTAGGGGATGTTTCCAGTAGCACACGGAAGCCTTCAGCCCCGAGGGTGCTAATTCCACATAGTATCTGGGCTTTCTTTCACTGGTGTTAAGCTGCTCGGCGGGAGTTGTTCAGACCTGCCGTTATAAACACACCTTTCCGCCGCCTGCTCTTTTGCTGACTCCCTCGAAAGCCAGGAAAGCCACACGCACCTGAATCTCCTGGAATGTTGGCTCATGCCCAGGTTGCCGGGCCCTGCCCTCAGAGTTTCTGACTCAGCTGCTTTAGTCTGGGGCCTCGAAGGCACACGTCTAACATGCTCCCCAGCACTGTAGCTGCTGCTACTGCTGGTGCGTGTCCGGGAACCGTGGTCTCAGAAGAACCACGGGCGCAGGCTCAGGAACATTCGGCCCAGGGGGCTCCAGTCAGCCAGGGGCTTTCTTGGGCACAAAAGGGGTGGATTTTGACAGCTCTCGGGCATGCCCTGACTGAGAGGTGGCCCAGCCCGAGACCCTGGCGAGGCTAACTCCCACCTCACTTTGCAGTGTGGTGAACCAGGAAGAAAAGTCGTTTGCCATCGGGGTGCAGTTCCTGCTGATGCGCCTGCTGGGTAAGTGGCCTCGTTCACAGCCCTTTGACTTCACACCGAGCAGGGGTGGGGAGGCCCCATCTCGCCTCTGTTTTAAAGACAAGCTCTGCGTCATCACCAGCAGCTGCCAACCACCCTCTGTGGGCCATTTCCCTGAAGGCACGAGGTCAGGAAGGGCTGTCCGTCAGTCCATCGATGGCCCCCATGCCACACTACGTTACCTACAGAAAATGAAAGTGGGCGCAGTTGGAAAGACCTCATGAAGCGCCAACAGCAGATAGCTTCCCGTCCCCCTCTCTCTAAGAACTTTGCCGTAGGAACAAAGCCTCTCATCCCTGCCCCGGGCAGAGCAGCAGCTGAGCCTGCTCCCTGACCATTTTCCAAAATGGAATTCTCCTAGGGTTCTGGGCGGTGCCGCAGGTTAAGCCTTGGGCTGCTAATGGCAAGATCAATGGTTCACACCCATTAGCTGTTCCACGGGAGAAGATAAGGCTGTCTGCTTCTGTCAAGACTTACAGCCCGGGAAGTCCTGGGGAGCAGTTGTAGTCTGTTGTAGGGTCACCATGAGTTGGAGCCACTCCATAGCACCTAAGGACAGCACTGCGATCCAGCGTGGCCCTCTAGCACGTGGTTCCTATGCCGGCTGCTCGGCACAGGCAACAGCTCAGCATCCATGCAAGGACACTCTCTGGACACGTGCATGTGATCAGTACTGCCCCACGGGACCAGAGAGGGTGGGCTGCTGGAAGCTGCTAGGAGCTCTCTCTGGGTGAACACGCCTGGTGCCCGGGCCCAGGGCAGGGAGCCGTAACAATGGGCCTTGCTCCACATGGCAGGTCTTTTTCCAGACTGCTCATGAAGTACTGTCATTTTCTGTCATGTCCAGACACTAGATTTAATACTAGCCACTTCCATGGATACCTAGGGGTACAGTGAGGAGCTCTGATGGCATTATGCACTGAGCTGCTAACCATAAGGTCAGTGGTTCAAATCCACCAGATGCTCTGCAGGAGAAAGATGAGGCTGACTACGCCTGTAAACATTTAAGGTCTTGGAAACCCACAAGGGCAGTTCTACAGCCGTATAAAGTCACTATGAGTTGGAATCCACTTGGCGGCAGGGAAAGTGAGCGGGAGCACCAGATTCATGAAGGGCCAGAGGCCCCTGGGAAGAAACCGGACAACCTCCAGTTGGTTATGACTCATAGCAACACCATAGGACAGCTTCCAGGAATGGAAATCTTTGCAGAATTAGACAGCACATCTTTCTCCTGAGAGGCCACTGGTGAGTCTGAACCAGTAACCTTTCGGTTACTGCCATGACAAAGTGAAACCCCTCTCACACACCCTGGGGCGCCCTGAGGCGAAACGGACTTGACAGGCATTGGTGGGAGCGCTCATTCGTCACCATTGCCAGGAAGCCAGGCCTGCCTCTCACTCCTTGCTGGCTTCTACTGTCATTCTGCGGTGTGCTGTTGACGTCCCTGCTGAGACCAGATGGGCAGGGGCCTTCACAGGAACCCTTCTGACCCCGGGTTGGGTGAAGCTTGGACAGTGAGGCACAAACTCGCTTTTTCCTTGGCTGCGTGCTCCTCTCCACCAGGTTCTGCAGACGCTCCGCGCTGGCCCGTGGTACAAACCCAGGGCAGCAGGTTTTAATGGCTAGCGATCTGCCCTGTCCTCATGACGGAGCATTCCACTGTCAGGACGCCTTGTGTGCCCTCATTTGTAACTGTCTCTAAAAGCTCCCCCTCGGACCCAGGCCGGGCTTCATCCTGCCCCGCCAGCAGCTGAGTGGGCTGGGAAGCACCTGCCCTACTCTTTCCGGGGACCTTGGAAACAATGGCCCACTCCCACTGCCTTTGGCTTTTTATCTGCACTCAGATGGCTTAAGGCAGAAGGAGCCCTGGTGGGGTAGTGAGGCTGCTAACCACAAGGTCAGTGGTTGGAAACTGCCAGTCACTCTGTAAGAGAAAGATGAGGTTTTCTACTCCTGTAAAGATTCACAGCCTCGGAAAACCCACAGAGTGGTTCTACCTTCTCCTACAGGGTTACTGTGAGTCAGAATCAACTCAATGGCAGTGACTTGGGGGGGATGGGGGATTGTTTGTTGGAGTGACACCAGAGAAGAAAAGCAATCTGCTTCCATAATGATTATAGTCCAGAAAAGTCTATGAGCCAGTTCTACTTGAAGGCAATGAGTTTACTTTGGCTTTGGTATAAGGCTGGACCGGCCTGATCCACAGCTGCTGGAAAGTCCAGGGAAGCCCAAGGCTAAGGCAGGCTGAGCAGCCAGGCTGGTGAGGTCCGCCAGGGCTTCTCTAAGCCAACAGAGCAGCTCAGGGAAGGGTGAGAGCAGGGGATTTGAACCCAGGGGACCAGAGTTCAAAGTCTGGCCTGACCCCTCTCGGCCGGCTGCTAAGCTCACTTTTCTCCTTGATGAGAACAAGGACACCACTCCGCTTCCCTGTGAGGCCTCGAGGAGAGCCCTCGAGAGCTCCTGCCACAGGACGGAGTCCATGCGACCTCTACTGAGCCAGTCCCGAGTGTGGGCGCTGCTTGCCTCTGAGCTGGCATCATGGTGACCTGCGCGGCTCATTCTGTGCCCCAAGGGCTCCCAGGTCCTTTTTTCTCCTAGCCTTCTGATGAGAACCAAATTGTAAGCTTCCTTGCACACTCTTTGACTTCCCCGAGCCCCCTTGGTTGCCAGGGCAAAGTAGGACCCTAAGCATGCATGTGGACTGGGAGGGGCACTGGGTTGAGGGGAGAGGGGGAACTAGGGTCACCTCTGCCCGGCACTGCATGACCTGGACTCCCTCTCCCCGGGGCCAGCCTGGCTGCCATCTCCAGCCCTGTACGGCCTGACCATTGACTCTTCCTGCATCAAGTGGAGCTCACAGTGCTCGGGGAGGCGAGGGGCCTGCACCTACTATGACAACAATGCGTTCCGAAACAGGTGAGGGCAGGCAGTGGCCACCGCCATGGGCCCTGCCACAGTGAGAGGGGGCCAGCCGGGCAGGGCCCCTCAGAAGTAGCCTCGGCTCTGCCGCCCCCGCAGGCCCTCAGGTTGGGGGCATCAACGGAACAAGCGAGGTTTGTCAACGGGAAGGGAATGGTGGTGGGTGCTGAGGGAGAGGCTGTGGCTGTGGATCCCCTCTGACATGGGTTAAGGGCGGGGAGGGGGGGCGTTCCTACTCCACAGGCTGAAGGCCCACTTGCAGTGCGCTGCCTCCGGCACTGTCTTCAACCTCCATACCTGCCACCCTCATGCACACCAGAAACCATGGGCGGGCACCACAGCACGGGAATTGTTTTGGGAGGTGTTGGGGAAGACCAGGTGGGAGATGGGGCGGGGGGCGGCAAGAAGCCAGAGGAAAGGTGCCCCTATCCTCCCCACTGGTTGAGCAGCCTCTGCCTCCAAAGGCCTAATGGCCCCAGACTTCACCAAGCCAGAAGTGCCTGCTCTGGCCCTCTGGGGGTGACGACCCCTGGGCTAAGGAGGTCCATGCCCACGGCTGCCTGTTGCCTTCCTGCTTCCCGGGAGGTTTGCACCGGGTGGGGTCAGAAGCACAGAGGAATCAGTTCCCACCCCCTCTGAACCACTAAGCCCATAAAGAGGAATAATGCTCTTCTTCCTCGGGGCCCTGGGCCTGGGACGGCCACGGAGCCCTACCACCACCTGCCCTAGGGCTGTCTCCTCTGCCTCACAGGTATCTGGGCCTGCAGGTGAGCTACAAGGTACTGGGAATCCTGCTGCTCTGCTTCACCAGCTGGAGGGTGAAGAAGAACAAGGAGTACAATGTGCAGGAGAAGGCTGCGGCGGGCCTCATCTGACCATCTGACCGGCCCGGAGTACACCCCTCCCTCCTGCCCACATTTACTCATATTAACAACTCGTTGCCTTTTTGTTTTGTTTTTAATGAGAAAGACAACCCCAGCCATCATCTGCTTCCCGGCCACCTCCTCCTCCCAAAGTCCGTAGCTCCTGAGGGTGGCCATGACCGCCCCCCAACTGAGGGAGTGATGACCCCCACATGCCCAGGTTCTCCCCCAACTTGGATGCCCATTGAAGTCGCTCCTGCTCCTTGCCAGCCCCGAAGAGGGTAGAGGAAAGAGGCTAGCTCTCCTTCTTGCCCTCTGGCTACCTGACTGCTATGGAGAGCAGGCTGAGATGGGGTGGGAGTGGGTTGAGTTATTAATGGCCCGGAGCCAGGTCAGGGGAAGGGGCCCAGGGGCCTCTCTGAAGCGGGGATTGCTGGGAGCCAGGGGAAGCTAGCTCCTGTCCCCCTCAGGCCTTGGCTTCTTGCCCCTAGGCGCCATTTTGGCAGCTGCCATGGTGGGAAGTCCCGGCAGCTGCTTCCCCCTCAGTTCCCATGCTCAGACCCCAGCACGGTGGCTCCGAACCGCCAAGCACGGGCTGTCCACGTGCTGTTCACTTTAGCCCAAGCCAGTGCGACACGTGCCGTGCCTGTGTGTCCCTTGTACACCCGTCACGGTCACACCATGATGTACACCTGGGGAAGGACCGTGGGGTGGTAGTGATATGCAGACCCTCACCAGCACAGTCAGCAGAAGACGCTCCCCGAATTTCCCCGAAGCAGAGGGAGACTGCGTGTGGCCTTGCCGGTTCAGACTTCAGCTTGTGTGCCAAGAAGGTGTTAAGAGAGGCAGTAAGATGTCAGCAAAGCCAGTGGCCAAGCCAAGTAAATGCAAACTGCCAAGCTGGAGGCAGGCAGGGTTAACATTCCTGGTTTCAAATATGCTTGTATTCGTCAACCTTTCCCCAGACGTCTCGCTTCCTCCAGCGAGGGGGGTGCCCTCTGTGGGCCTGGCATGGGTTGAGAGATACCACCACTGTATGGTAGAGACTCAGAGTTAGAAGTCAGCCAACAAGGCCTTTCATCAACAAATGCTCTATTTACTGGAGACCAACTTGATACTAGGGTAGTGACTGGACATCTCCTCAGTGCATGGTTCCCACACATCTCACCCCACCTCCCTTCGCTAGCCTACACCTTCCTCGCACCTAGACCACTGCTTGGTGTGGGCAGTGCTGGGGAAGAGGGGCAGCAAGAACCCAGAGATTGTCCAGGAGGGTCTGACCCGTCCGGGGCTCCGCCAGCCTGACCTGGTGCCTGGCCCTTCACTGGACAGCGGCCAGGTGCACCATGTCCCCTGGAGCAGCTAGTCATCAGTCCATGGAGCCCACTAGGACCTTGAGTGCCTCTCCTTGTGGACGAGTCCCCCAGAAGCACACTGTCCTTACGCCACACCTCCAAGAAAGCCTCCGATATGCTATATGCCACAGCCAGACTGCCATGAGACTGAGGTCTTCATGGAAGCCGCTGTTACAGACAGCCTTACTCCCAAAGCCACGAGCCTTATTCCCAAAGACTGCACTCAGGAAGGGAGGCTCTATGCAACCTCAGGGCCAGCTTCAACATTTACAGCGGTTCTACTTAGAACACGATTCCCTGCAACTAACCCCGGCTCTTCTTGCGGTGATTTAACCAATTTCTAGAGACTCTGCCTTCATCTGAGGTCGTCAACAGTGAATGCCAACCCTCAGACACTAGATTGGTTGCCCTCGCAAACCTCTGCCCTATTGTGACTGTTGCTATTAATATATTATAATTTTGCTACTGACATGACTTGCTCGTGAATTTGTGCTGACATGTGTGTCGGTCAAAGAGCAGACGGGACCCCACCTTGGGGACACAGCAGCCCAGGAGGATAGCGGAGGGCAGCTCCCCACCATCAAGTAGGTGCTGCACAGGCAGCAGGCGCTTCTTGTTCCACCCGTTAGCTTCTGCATGTCACTGCCAAGGGCCCATGGTGCTGGGCTTCTGCAAGACTCCGTCTCTGCCCTTGAGTTTACAGTCCAGCATGGAAGTGGACACACACAGTTAAATCCATGATGTAAAACAGAATCCATTTCAGCATCTAATTGAGCACATGGTCCCAGTCATTGATCCTACTCAACAAGCCTTTCCTCTGAACCTTCCAGAGCAAAGATGAGCCCACAGACCAGCGTGTGAAACTCTCTTAGAAGGGAGTCATTCAAATGCATACTCCCAGCCCCCAGCCCCAGAGACCATTTCTGTGGGTCTGGAGGGGGCCCGGGAGTCACGTTTCCAACAGTCTCTTCTCTGAGTTGATTGTGGTCCTCGACCTTGCATGGCGTCATTGGGTAGCCATCAGCACCTTGGAGACGCCCACTTGGGTTCACGTCACTGAGACATTGGCAGACTCAATAGGCCTTTGATAAATTCTAGTGTGTGATCAAGTATGACAAGGTTGTTGGAAATCTGATGTTCCTGGAATGTTCCAACCAGGAGGAGTCAAACAAAACCCGGTGCCATTGAGTGACTGCTGACTCACAGTCCCCTTGATGGGGTTGCCAGTCTCATCTTTCTGCTGCAGAGTAGCTGGTGGACTTGAACTGCCAACCCTCAGCGGTACGACCCTTACCTATAGGCTTGACAACCAACGGGGACGGGGAGGGCTCCAAAAAGTTTCTGGGAAAATTCCATTCTTTTTTTCATTCCATTTTTCCACAAGCTTTTTGAAGCCCCTCATAATCCAGGAACTGGCATCTACACTAGGCACGTAGAGGGTGCTGAGAGTAGGACTCACATTCCGCCAGCTGAAATGTGCAAAATGATTGCCATGAGTCAATCCATTAAATCTGACTTCAAGCCCTCATCCTGCTGGCTGGGTAGAAATTCAACCGCATTCCATAGAATGGGTGCCTTTGCATTTGAGAAAGTCACCCTGGGTGTTTGGTTTCTTCCCAGGTTAGGGCCCATGTTTAAGGAAACACGGAAAGCCCACAGGAGACTACTTAAAGGGCAACCTCCCAAGACACACCTCCAGCTACGCTTTCCTCCTGCCCAATCCTAGAAATCCCAGTCCTCTCCCACTTCCTCCCCCAGTGCATGCTGCCCCTCACAGTAGGAAAGGGGCGTCTGCAAGCACTTATTGGGAATAGCAAAGGGAATGCTGCGACCACCAGGCAGACACCAAGCAGCCTCTCTGTCACCTAGCCTTTGGCCCCGGTTTGGGTGATCCTCACCACAGCCTCCTGTTCACAGCGCCAGACTGCTGCAAGCACTTCATTGGAAAGAGGGACATGCAGGAAGGCTATCCCATCATCCAACTTCACACAAGTGCTAACTGACCAGGCCTGGCCTCAAACAAGGCAGGCCATCTCGCTCATGGAGCCATCGCGAGTGGCAGGGAGGCACTCTCTTCCCCCCGAAAATCACAAGCCCACTGAAAGGAACGGGGAGAACCGATTGTGTGCCCTGTAAGGTGGGAGGTGGGTGACAGGCCATGGAGACACCAGGTCGTGTTCATCGACCCCCCTTCCATTCAAGTGGCAAGAACATCACGAGTATCCATTAAATAGAGCTGATTTCGCCCTGTGGCACCTGGCACCATGAGTTGCGGCAGAATGTGAGGGGAAAGGGGAGACCCACTGGAGCAAAGAAAGCCCCCCTCCATGGCTCCCCACCCCTCTGCCAGACAAAGCACACAGGCAGACCTTCAGGGAACCCCTCTCCTCCCTCAGGGATGGATTTGTAGCTTCTTACTTAGACCCAAAGACTCCAAAAATGGGGAGACACAATTAAGCTGGGGGCTGGACCCAATCAGTATCAAATTGATATTAAAATATTTTAGGTTTCCAGAGAGATTGCCAGTGGCTGTGTGTGTGTGAGAGAGAGAGAGAAAGAGAGAGAAACGCTGCAAATCCAGGAGACAAATACCGTCTTTCACAACCATCAGAATAAACAGCTGGAGAAAATGCCTCTCCCACCAAGAGCATTGGATTCATTCTAACCTTTCCTCAGAGATTAAATACGTAAGCAGGTCCTGCGCAAGCCCTTGGCAAATCAGAAACAAGAGGAAGTTTTTCTCTCGTGACACGCCCTGTCCATCCCTCCACTCCCCATGCCGCACTGCCCAGGGGTCACCTCACCTTGATGAGGCCCTTGACCTCACCCTCGCCCACCCCCACATCCCAGGAACCTGCTATATCTCAATGGCAACAATTACCAAGATGGGCATAGATCTTTACAGTTTTTACACTATCCATTCAAAGACCGTGAGGCAGGGTAAATCCAGCTTGGCTATGCTGTTGGGAAACATCACCAAGCTGCAGTGACTCGGGCCCAGGAAAGCGTCTGCCTTGTCACACAAAGCCCGCACTGTGCTGGTGGGCTCTCCGGGGGCTCAGGTGGTGGCTCAGCCATCCAGGCAGCATGCACCCTCACCTCCACGTCATGGCCCAATGCCAGGGTGGGCGAGGCAGGAGGGAGTATCTTTAAGGTCTTGTACCTTAAATTAAGGTCTTGACCTTTGGAATTAAATGCTTTGGCCCCCAAGCAACACATTGGCCAGTACAAGTTGCAGTACAAGTTGCAATGGCCCCGCCTTAAGGCCCGGGATGGGGTGGGGGTTGGGCAGGAAGCATTGTCCTTGTGCTCTGAAGAGATGAAAAGCAGATGTGGAGAGCAGAGGGTTCCTTTCTGTCTGGGGGTAAACCCGGGTTGCTGGGCGAGGGTGGGAGAGCAGTGTTGAGTCAGGGCAAGTTTCCCCAAAGAGGCAGCATCCATTCGGGGTTCCAAAAGGCGCAGAGATGGTTTGCAGGGAGGGCTGGGGCAGGAAAGGATTTGCAGGGTGATGGGGAGGTGGGAAGAGGATGGACTCAGGTTGCATAAGTGGGGCGGTGGCTTAGAGAGCTGCAAGGGTGGAGGAAGGGCCTATTATGACGGGAGGGGTGGTCTGGGGCAGACAGGCTGAGGAGTCAAATAAAAACAGCTGATGGCCCACAGTCCCTGAAAGAGGCGGCTGGGGCGGATAGACTGAACCACAGTGGCGGAATCTTCCTAGAGCTTCCACCTGCTTTGAGAGGCTGGAATGCCTGGTCCCATCCAGCAGCGGGAGAAGATGAAGCCCCTTCCAGTGGTTCCTCATGTCTCCACGTGTGTGTACTATCTGATATGTGAAGCTAAATCAAAAGGCTTGCCACTCCGGTTTCATGAGCCCTGGTGGTGGTGTGGTTGCTCAGCGGGCTGCGGGCTGCATGGACAGTGGTTGAAACCCCAGCAGCTCCACCGTGGAAAGACTGGACTTCGTCCTCTCTTAAACAGGTACTGTCTCAGAAACCCAGAGGGGTCGCTATGAGTCAGCATGAACGCGATGGCAGGGAGACTGTTTTGTTTTTCTAAGATTCCAGTTCATACTTGCATAGATTTATGCTAAACAAAACATCTTTAAACACGGCTCTGTGATCAATAGGGGGCGACAAGTTCTCTCAGTAAGTTTGTCTCAGGAGGATGCCTTCGAAAGAGATGCAATTGTTCCATGATGCTCACCTTCCCGACACAACCGCTGAAGACAAAGCGGGTGAATAAGCTGATGAAGAATGTGGTGAAGAAAGCTGATGGTGCCTGGCTATCAAAAGATATAGTGTCTGGGGTCTTAAAAGCTTGAAGTTAAACAAGCGGCCATCTAGCTCAGAAGCAACAAAGCCCACATGGAA